CCTAACCCTAACCCTAACCCTAACCCTAACCCTAACCCTAACCCTAACCCTAACCCTAACCCTAACCCTAACCCTAACCCTAAGCCCTAAAAACCCTAAACCCTAAGCTTGTAGCGGCTGGTGCGGCAGTCGGTCGCGCTCCGTCCGTACGGCCTTAGTGCGAATTGTATAGCTAGTTTTCGTGCAAACTAACTGGCTAATTCTCGCGACGGTAGCTATTGTATCCCATATAGCACTTGCCGCTATTTCAGTCGGATCGGATGAATCGCCGTTAGGTGCGTGGACGTAGTCAATAAGGTGCTGCGGGTCAATTCCTCGGAGGTAGACAGCCCACTGCGTACGACGTAACCATGGATTCGCGTCATCGCGCTGACCAGCCTCTATAACGTGAGGTAATTCACTTTCCTCCGTGAAAGCTAGTTCGATTTCATCAATAAGGCGGTCCCCGACCTCGGTCGCGGGCATTGAATCGGCCCCGGTAATAGCTTCCGCCCTAAGCGTACGCACGCGAATATAATGAGATGCTGGCCCCTGGCTAAATGCGCGCTGGCATCGAACGACGCGCGTAAATTGCTGAATTTGCTGCTCTGCCGCCGATAAACCTTGCTGCCGCTGACGGCCGCCATGGTTAACCGGTGCGATCTAGGCATGGCGGTTACGCCAATGGTAGCGTATGGTCCTAATAGAACGGGCGATAAATTGACAAAATAGGTCCTTTTCACATAAAATGCCATCCGAAAAAACTGGCAAATTAGCAATTGGGGTATTAACCACGGTTGGTGGCTGCTATGCATCGCATTTATGCGCCCGGTCGGAGGTTTGAATAATATCCGCAATTTGACGTGCCGTACGTATTAGAAGTCGATGATTTGCCGATTGTAGGTGTCGTAAGACCTCTCTTGGTCTAATGACGTATTCGCACGTCTTACACACGAAGACTGGGTCTGTTGAAGGTTGGTGGAAAAATTGGCTTGCCATAGTTGATGATAATGTGAGATATATATCGCACAATAATGAATTGCATGAAATTTGACGAATGTCGAATACTGACTGTGAGGTGAAATGGTCTAAAAACAAAGTGAGATAATAGTTAGGGAGCGTCTAAACCCCTGAATTGCCTGCTACCCCACTAATCCTTATAGACTAGCATAATTAAGGTGATTAGTTACGTCTATAGTGCTATGGTGGCGTCTTTGGTGGTAAATATACGCCGTAATATTATATCCTAATAATTACACCCTAATAAAACGTCTCGGATGTTTAATCGCTATTTGCTCTATAGCCCTACGGCTCTATATGCTATAAATTAAATAGGAGATATATTAGATACTCTATTATAACTAATCAAAATTTAAGAGCGATAGGACATCATTATACCTCTATAGTCTAATAGGAAATATACCACTTTCCCTAGTATAGACCCCTATAACTTAGGTAATAATAGGCCCCCCGATCTAAGCTTAGTTTTAGAATACTAGGAAAGGTAGTGGCTCGCTAGCTAGCTAAAAATATAGTGAAAAATCTGATATTCTTACAAATTTGGGTATATACCTTTTTCTGATGTTCAAAAAGTGAACATAATAGGTTCCTAGGCGGCCAGTTTTTGGCACGAATCAAAATTGCTGCGGCGTCAAAATAGCACCAAAGCAGACTAGTCTAGGCGCTAATTAATATATATAAAGCCCCCCCGTATCGGCATTATAGCCTAAGTCTAGTGTTTCTCTAAGGAACATATTATATAGGTAAAACGCTAAGGCGTATAACTTTCCCTAGATACGGCCCCCGGTCCTAGTAAGAGGGTATACTAAAGAAAATAGTCTACCCTCCATAGTGTGTAAATAGCTAGGTAAAATATATACTAATAGTAGGGTACTAGCTAACAATGTCTAAAGGTAATAAACACCCCTATATCTTAGTTAATAGGAGAACCCCCGTGCTAGGAAGAAGGTATTATATATACTATACACTAGTCTCGCTATATACCAGAAATCTAGGTAATAGGCCTACTAGAAATAGAGTCTAAGGTAATAATGTAAATAGCTAATATATCGTCCGATATCTTAGGTAATACTAGGCCCCCCGATATAAGCTTAGTATTAAAATACTAGGGAACGTACGGGCTACCTAGCTAGGTAGAAATATAGTGAAAAATCTAATATTCCTCTAAAATATGGATATATACCTTTTTATAATGTTCAAAAAGTGAACATAATAGGTTCCTAGGCGGCCAGTTTTTGGCACGAATCAAAATTGCTGCGGCGTCAAAATAGCACTAAAGCAGACTAGTCTAGGCGCTAATTAATATATATAAAGCCCCCCCCCGTATCGGCATTATAACCTAAGTCTAGTGTTCCTCTAAAAAACATATTATATAGGTAAAACGCCGAGGTATATAGCTTTCCCTATACTAGACCCCCCTTCCTAGGAGTAAGGTATTATATAGATAATACACTACCTTCTATATATAGTAAATAACTAACTAATAGACCTAGTAATAGTAAAGCACTAGCTAATAGTATAAAAAGGTAAGAAACACCCCTATATCCTAGGTAATACTAGGCCCCCGGAAGTAAGCTTAATACTAGAATACTAGGGAACGTAAGGGCTATCTAGCTAGCTAGAAATATAGTGAAAAATCTAATATTATATTGTTAAAACTTTAGATACGTACCTTTTTCTAATGTTCAAAAAGTGAACATAATAGGTTCCTAGGCGGCCAGTTTTTAGCACGAATCAAAATTGCTGCGGCGTCAAAATAGCACTAAAGCAGACTAGTCTAGGCGCCAATTAATATATGTAAAGCCCCCCCGAATCGGCATTATAGCCTAGGTCTAATGTTCTACTTAAAAACTTGTTATATAGGTAAAACGCCGAGGTATATAGCTTTCCCTATACTAGACCCCCTGTCCTATGGTTAAGGTATTGTATAGACTATACTCTACTCTCTATATATAGTAAATAGCTAACTAATAGACCTAGTAATAGTAGAGTACTACCTAATAATGTTAATAAGTAATAAACACCGCTATATCTTAGGTAATAGGAGACCCCCGGTCCTAGGAACTAGGTATTATATAGACTATAGACTACACCCTATATAGCCTATATATAGGTAAAACACCTACTAGTAATAGACTACTATGTAATAATTTAAATAGGTAATATAGACCCCGATATCTAAGGTAATATACACCCCAATATCTAAGGTAATATTAGGCCCCCCGATATAAGCTTAGTATTAAAATACTAGGGAACGTACGGGCTATCTAGCTAGCTAGAAATATAGTGAAAAATCTAATATTCTTACAAATTTGGATACGTACCTTTTTCTAATGTTCAAAAAATAAATATAATAGGTGCCTTAGCGGCTAGTTTGCGGCGCGAACCAAAAAAGCTGCGGCGTTAGAATAGCACCGAAGCAGACTAGTCTAGGCGCCAATTATTAAATTGAAAGCCCCCCCGTGTCGGCATTATAGCCTAAGTCTAGTGTTCCTCTAAAAAACATGTTATATAGGTAAAATGCTAAGGCGTATAACTTTCCGTATACTACACCCCCCGTCTAAGGAAGAAGGCATTATATAGATAATATATAGCCTTCTATATATAGTAAATAGCTAATTAATAGACCTAGTAATAACGGAGTACTAGCTAATAATATTAAAAGGTAATAAACACCCCTCTATCTTAGGTAATACTAGACCCCCCGGAGTAAGCTTAGCATTATATTACTTAGAAAAGTACGAGCAATCTAATAATGAAATAATAATTGTAATAACACTAGGAAGTCATCGAGTAGACTACTCCCGATTAGTCAAAAAAGTGTTAAAAATGGTCCTTTAGAGAGACCTTAGGTGGCACTCTCAATTATATATATCTCTACACTCTAATATATATCACTACAATATACGTCTAAACTTTTACTACTAGGAAATAAGGTTTCCTAGTATCCTAATTAGGTCTAGCTTATAGCTCACTAGCTAATAATGTCTACTAGTATATTAGATAGACCTTAATATACTAGTATACTACCTTTTACTAGAAATCTAAGGTTTAACCGCTAATAACTCGCCTACTAATAGACCTACTAGTTTATAAATAGGATATTTGAAATCAGCTGACTTTTCTCTATCGAATAAACCCCTTACTAAATTCGTAGTGTACGGGACTAGGTAGTTATGGTGCCCGATATGCTAGCTAGGTCCTTCTAGTCACGTGGCCGCCGTTCACGTAGGCGCTGAGAGTAAAATACCGGGTGTAAGGTACGAATACGGGGTAATCTATTTAGTAAGGGCTGCCATAGATAAGGGTGGGTATCCGATTACGGTAATAAATCCCGTCGGTCGCAACGCATACAAACCTTTCGCCTATTTTTGATCATCCACCACACCACCATTATTAGTCTGATCGTGCTCAATCTTTCACGATTGCTAGATCTAATAGTTAAATAGACTATGTCCAATTTATAGACTAATCGGAGCAATACGTAGCTCGTGGTCGTAGAGTAAACGTCGAACCTTTAGTACTGCGACCGGGTGACCCCATCAAAACTTTTCACCAATTTTTGATCATCTACCACACCACCATTATTACTCTGATCTTAGTCAAACTTTCATAAGTTGTAGATCTAATACTCAAATAGACCGTGTCTAATTTATAGACTGATCGGAGCAATACGTAGCCCGTGGTCGCGGAGTAAACGTCAAACCTATAGTACTGTAACCACCCAAAAAGGTACAAGGAGGTACAAGACCAAAATGCTTTAAACGCGTATAACTCAATAACTAGAAAGCTGTGTAAGCTCCGAAGCAAATGGGAGATACCTCATATATACCTCTATAATCTATAAAAGTCTTAGACCGATCGGAGCTGACTAGACCTCAGGAGTCTGGCGAGGAAAAGAACCTGGAGTCAGGCGTGGCCGTACTTTGAGGTACCATAGTTAAGACCCAAGCCCTAACCTGGAGTCTGGCAGACTACAGCACCCCCCGTGGGATAGGGTAGATATCTAACTAATAGACGTAGTAACAATAGAGTAATAGCTAATAAGGTAAAATGGTAATAAACACCCCTATATCTTAGCTAATAGTAGACCCCCGGTCCTAGGAATCGGGTATTATATAGACCATAGCCTAGTGCCTAATAGGTATATATATAGGTAATAGACCTCCTAATAATAGAGTCTAAGGTAATAATATATATAGATAATATATAGCCCAATAACTTAGGTAATACTAGGCCCCCGGAAGTAAGGTTAGTTTTAGAATACTAGGAAAGGTACTGGCTAGCTAGCTAGCTAGAAATATAGTGAAAAATCTGATATTCTTACAAATTTGGGTATATACCTTTTTCTAATGTTCAAAAAGTGAACATAATAGGTTCCTAGGCGGCTAGTTTTTGGCACGAATCAAAAAGGCTGCGGCGTCAAAATAGCATAGAAGCAGACTAGTCTAGGCGCTAATTATTAAATTGAAAGCCCCCCCGTATCGGCATTATAGCCTAAGTCTAATGTTCCTCTAAGGAACATATTATATAGGTAAAACGCTAAGGCGTATAACTTTCCCTATATTAGACCCCCGGTCCTAGCAAGAAGGTATAATATAGGCTGTACCCTATTCTCTATATAGGG